GTTTAAATATAGGTTAGATACAAGTTTACAAGCATTGATCATGAGTTATGGGTCCAAGCAATGGAAAATATAAAAGTATGTACCATAATGAAAGTGAATTAAATTGAGAAGGGAGAAGGTCAGCTTATTTTGGCCTTTTAAATGTCATCCATAAGTGTTTGTGGAAGAATATGATGTCCACGGTACTTTTGTGCTGCCCAGGCAGCTTGACTGCCATTTAGCCCCTTTTCATATGTATAATTGATGTATTCAACAATATTTTGGGTCAGAAACTGCAAATATCAAATTTCCTCCCATTATTTCTCTTTACATCTCAAAAATACTACATTTAGAGTAACTCTATGTAATTACAGTTGGCAGAAAGTGTTTTGGTTGCCAATGGCAAAGAATATTGTAAAAAAGTACCTTTCCTGAAACAGTCACACTTGGCATGTGACATTGGAAGCAAGTGGATGTCCTCTACCTTACTGCTCTGCTTGGCCCATGTCACCACCGGCAACATCCCCCTCAATGTAGTGGTATATAAACCAACTCTCCGCCCAGGCCATTTTGATATCACAGTCCCCATAGCCCTTGATCTGGACATGATTGGCTGCAGAACCACTGTCCACTGGGTACAGACTGCAAATGTTCATCATTGGAGAAACTGTGAGCACAGTGAACAGGCAAGGGTTGGGGTGTGTGTATGGCATTGTCTTACTGCAACTGGGCCTGCCACCCCCTTCATGCCACATGACACAGTCAGCAGAGCCCCCCACCCCTTCAAAGCACCCAAACACAGTCCCATGTCCATACAATCTTCACTCTCTCAACAAAAAGTATTTGCAACTCAGCAGCTAAAGAGAACATGTGCCTGGTACCAGATCTGTCATTCGACAGCAACATCATCACATTTGATAATGACCCAACTGAAAAAGCTATCAACTGGCTGTAAGTGCCAGTGCAAATCTTTGTGAGTAAGAAACTCACACTCCGACCCTACCTTCCAGGCTCCAGCAAGTCCAGGTCATACTGGAGCCCAATGCAAGTGGTTCAAAGTGTAATGCAGACATGCTTTGAATTACACCAACTATGCAGCTCAGGAGCATGGGGAGCTCATATAGGAGGGTTCTGAAAAAAAGCCATGCACTGACCACAGAGGAGCCTGCTCAAAACATAGGCATAGGTGTGTAGGTGATCCAGCTCAAAAACTTGGGCGGCTCAGTCAAAACCTCCAGAAAACTGGTCTGACTGTTTTGAACAGCTCATATTCAATAGTTAAAGATGGATCTGCTTCCTCAATGGGATGGGAGGGTCACCCACACTAAGTGACTGAAAATTTGAAGCAGCCTACTCTAGCAGTGCAATGAAAGATGTGGTGGCCAAATTTACCCTGTCCACTATGAGGAGTACATCTTTTGCAGAGAATTCCTTTGACTTTGATTTAATCCAATAAGGGCTTAAGATCTCTTCAAAATCTCTTCAAAAGCCAACCTTCCTTGCCAACTGCGAGGGCTGGATATTCACATGCCACTCCTCAGCACTGCCATGGCTAAGGGACTCTTGCAATGAACTCAGCACAACAATTGCAGACTTGCTGCATCCATTGGCATCAAATGAATCTGTTCACCAAAAGCAGACAATGTTAGAGGCCCACACATCACCTGCATCATAGGCTACTATCAGCAGTATTCTAAGGTGGCAGTATAGCAAATCTGCTGTTTTTGATGTGTTTAAACCATGCCTTCACTAGGACTCCAATCTCATGGGCTTCCAGATTTATTTTACAGCCTATTGTCCAGAGAATAATGTGAGGAAATTTTTGCTTTTCCAAGAGCTGAACTGACTCTGCACAGATGTTTTTTGAAGCAGTTTGTGACACCATTCTTCTCTGACATTGCAGAAAAATTCCACTGGTGTGCTGAGTGGCATGAGCAGAGATACCCAAATGCCAAGCCCCTGTTTGGGTGCTTCTGGAACCTCTGCGTGAATGGTATGTTTCCAGGTCTGTCTGCCTTCTCATGATGTGTGTTCTCCCTGGTCTGTTTTCCATCCCTTTCTCCTTTTCCTAACTTTGCTGCACCCCACTGCAGGAAGTGGCTTTGACCACACTCAAAAACCTGGCTGGTTCTCTAGGAGGCTGGAGTTGTTATTGAGCTCCCTTCATGGGTCTTTTTGGCATACCCATCCTCACTTCTGTACCACTTCAATATTGATGTTGATGGTGCTTTTTCATCATGACAAACTTTGAATTTCAATCTAATGTGCCTTTCAAGATATTGATTTTGTCTCCACTCCAGCCTACTTGGGAAAGCCCAACTCATTTACAGGGCAATGGCAGAGGGAGCTTTGTTTTTTTAATGAAGCAATGCTTTACCAATTGAGGTCTTTATTGTCTCTCTATAATTCTGCCAAGCTCTGCCTGAGCTCCACTGAGTTCAGGTAGCTTTTGATAACAGGGCACATATTGAGTTGGCAGGTGGGTCACAGCCAAGCTCTGCAGGACTCAGGCCAGTCCTGAGAACTGGGATTTCACCTCAGCCAGGACAGGACCAGGACAAGGGTGTTTTTGATGCAACTGCAATAAAATCACATGACTTTATACAGGTCATCTCACATGCAAGTTTAAACATCACAATAGTGTCACAGTGTGTGACATCACTTCTTTTCTTCAAACACAACCCAATGAGCTGCCCACAACAACCACAACATGATGCCCAATGCCAACCATAACCTGCAATGAACATGAAAGGACACCCTTCTATTTCACAGTATTTCATCATTAAATATACCAATTCTTGGTGGATTTGGATGGAAAGGGGTTAAAAGGGGTTCACTGGAACCACATGAATGGGGGCTACAAAATGGGCCCAAGAAATTCAGAATTGAGAGATGGGAGGGAGTGCAAAATGGGCAGGGTATAGAAATTCAGGCATGGCAGTTTTTTGAGTCATAATACTACTAGAAACAGATGTGTATAAAGTGAGTAGGACCATCCCCCAGTCACTGTGAGGAGAGAAGATATCTTCTGATATTTTGGCAGACCAACATGTAGACACAATGGTCAGAGCATCTGTGAATAACCAGAGCAAACAGCTGGAAGATGAGCACAGCAATACTGAGAACTAGTTGAGGATTGTTCATAAACTTGAGACACTGAGTTTTTGCTCACAGCATATGCCCACGAACTATCCCTGCCACAATCTTGCTCCTGAACTGGGGCATCCTTCATTGTCGAAGATCGTTTGGATCCTCCTCATCAACTCCCACTGTTTCTTGCAAATTGGATTACTGCCTAACTACATGCCACATAGTTATGAGCCCAATATACACCCCAAATATAGAGGCTGGAACCCTAAGATATAGCCAGCATGAGAGTTGGGGGAGGCACATTATGAAATCCTGCCTTGCATGCAGATTAAAGCAATGCTAAAAAGAGATCAAGAACCATACCAGAGTCTCCAGAACAGGCTTGACTTCTATCAGGTGACAGACACTGTGATGGTAACAGTAGGAACTGTATAGGTGAACAAGATTATGTGAACAAGGGAACCAGAGTCGTGCATTTACCCTCCCCCACATACTCCATGTGGAGTCCAGTGGATTCTGGTGGCCCACTTGCTAGGCCAGATTGGCTTGCAAAATGCTCAGTCCACTGACCTCAAGTCCAGTCCAGTCCAGTCCCAGTCCAGTCATAGCTCACTGGATTCCATTGGATTCCAGTGATTTTAGTGCATTATTGCTTATTACTTATTGTTATTAATCATGACTACTACAAAAAAAAGCGATAATAGACAACTACATTGATAGAACAGACTTACATTTACATTAATAAAATTACAAGCCTAATCTTTCACACATCAATATATGTGAGAGCTTGCTGCAATAATGATCAATAATTTTGTTCAGTCTGCAGGATTGTGTCACATGACTTACTTAATGTGACATTCAAATGTTACCACCCATATCATCATGTTTGCTGTTACTTGCATGTCCATCTATTTCCCTCCCATCACCACTGCCACCTCTCCTTCACCACTGCCAACATTTCACAAACGTTGGTGGTGGTGTTGACCACTCTTGAAACATTTATTGTGCTCATCATCAT